ATGATCAAGTAGGGTTCATCCCGGGGATGCAAGGCTGGTTCAACATACGCAAGTCCATAAACGTAATTCACCACATAAACAGAACCAAAGACAAAAACCACATGATTATCTCAATTGATGCAGAGAAGGCTTTCGACAAAATTCAACAACCCTTTATGCTAAAAACCCTCAATAAACTAGGTATTGACAGAACGTATCTCAAAACAATAAAAGCTATTTATGACAAACCAACAGCCAATATCATAGTGAATGGGCAAAAACTGGAAGCATTCCCTTTGAAATCTGGCACTAGACAAGGATGCCCTCTCTCACCATTCCTATTCAATATAGTACTGGAAGTTCTAGCCAGAGCAATCAGGCAAGAAAAAGAATAAAGGGTATCCAAATTGGAAAGGAGGAAATCAAATTGTCTCTATTTGCAGATGACATGACTGTATATCTGGAGGACCCCATCATCTCAGCCCAAAGTCTCCTGAAACTGATAAACAACTTCAGCAAAGTCTCAGGATACAAAATCAACGTGCAAAAATCACAAGCATTCCTATACACCAGTAATAGACTTCAAGAGAGCCAAATCAAGAACGAACTGCCATTCACAATTGCTACAAAGAGAATAAAGTACCTAGGAATACAACTAACAAGGAACGTAAAGGACCTCTTCAAGGAGAACTACAAGCCATTGCTCAACGAAATAAGAGAGGATACAAACAGATGGAGAAACATTCCATGTTCATGGTTAGGAAGAATCAACATCATGAAAATGGCCATACTGCCCAAAGTAATTTACAGATTCAACACTATTCCCATCAAGCTGCCAATGACCTTCTTCACAGAACTGGAAAAAAAACACCTTAAACTTCATATGGAACCAAAAGAGAGCCCGCGTAGCCAAGTCAGTTCTAAGCAAAAAGAACAAAGCAGGAGGCATCACACTACCGTACTTCAAACTATACTACAAGGCTACAGTAATCAAAACAGCATGGTACTGGTACCAAAACAGAGATATAGACCAATGGAACAGAACAGAGGCCTCAGAGGAAATACAACATACCCACAACCATCTGATCTTCGACAAACCTGACAAAAACAAGCAATGGGGAAAGGACTCCCTGTTTAATAAATGGTGTTGGGAAAACTGGCTAGCCATGTGCAGAAAGCAGAAACAGGACCCCTTCCTGACACCTTACACCAAAATTAACTCCAGATGGATTAAAGACTTAAACATCAGACCTAATACCATAAAAACCTTAGAAGAAAATCTAGGCAAAACCATTCAGGACATAGGTGTAGGCAAGGACTTCATGACCAAAACGCCAAAAGCAATGGCAACAAAAGCCAAAATAGACAAATGGGACCTAATCAAACTCCACAGCTCCTGCACGGCAAAAGAAACAGTCAGTAGAGTGAATCGGCAACCAACAGAATGGGAAAAAATTTTTGCAGCCTACCCATCTGACAAGGGGCTGATATCCAGAATTTACAAAGAACTAAAGCAGATCTACAAGAAAAAAACAAACAAGCCCATTCAAAAATGGGTGAAGGATATGAACAGATACTTTACAAAAGAAGACATACAGGAGGCCAACAAACATATGAAAAAATGCTCATCATCACTGGTCATCAGAGAAATGCAAATCAAAACCACATTGAGATACCATCTCACACCAGTAAGAATGGCGATCATTAAAAAATTGGGAAACAACAGACGCTGGAGAGGATGTGGAGAAATAGGAACACTTTTATACTGTTGGTGGGAATGTAAATTAATTCAACCATTGTGGAAGACAGTGTGGCGATTCCTCAAGGACCTAAAAATAGAAATCCCATTTGACCCAGCAATCCCATTACTGGGTATATATCCAAAGGATTATAAATCATTCTACTACAAGGACACGTGCACACGAATGTTCATTGCAGCACTGTTTACAATAGCAAAGACCTGGAACCAACCCAAATGCCCAACGACGATAGACTGGATAGGGAAAATGTGGTACATATACACCATGGAATATTACGCAGCCATCAAAAACGATGAGTTCACGTCCTTTGTAGGGACATGGATGAACCTGGAAACCATCATTCTCAGCAAACTGACACAAGAGCAGAAAATCAAACACCGTATATTCTCACTCATAGGCGGGTGTTGAACAATGAGAACACATGGACACAGGGAGGGGAGCACTACACACTGGGGTCCGTTGGGGGGAAATGGGGGAGGGGCGGGGGGGTGGGGAGGTGGGAAGGGATAGCATGGGGAGAAATGCCAGATACAGGTGAGGGGACGGAAGGCAGCAAACCACACTGCCATGTGTGTACCTATGCAACAATCTTGCATGCTCATCACATGTACCCCCAAACCTAAAATGCAATAATAAAAAAAAAAAAAATCTAACCTGCACCTCAAGGGACTAATGTGCATATATGTGAACATTCCATCTTACCATGCATTGTCTACCCCTTTACCACTCAACTATCCCTGTAGCAAGCCTTTAGACTGAAGGTGCAGCCCTCTCTTTGAAGGTTACCTGGGAAAAGGGGTCTGCACAAGTCCTCTAAGAAGGCTCGGGGCTCTGTAGGAAAGAACAAAGTCGCAAGAGGGGCTGAATGCAACCCTCTTAATCTGGGAACTCAGAATACCTGTTGCCTGGATCTTAGAGCAGGCAGTACTGCTCACTACTTTTTTACCTAATCCAGACTACTATTAGCTGTTGTGAGGTAGAGTGCAATGGTCTCCTGCCTGTCCTCTCCATAAATTTTGCCTCTCTCATTTTTAAAAAGCCTTCTATAAAAGTGATGATTCTAAAGACAAAATCACTCCCATCAACTTTCTCACGTTTATTATTCTAGAAACACTAGGCAGCCATTAAAGGTTTTAAAGACAAAGACTTAAAGATGCGTGTGTTCTGGCCTTGCCTCTCACCAGCTTCATGCCCTGCTGCTGTTTCAGTGCACTAACCATGCTGCCCTGTTGGTGTGTGACTAGTGCCATGTCTCTTCTAGCCAAAGGGTTGTTGAATATGCTTCTCCTGGTCCTGGGATGCTACACCCACATCTACAATTGTTTTGGTTGATGCCTCCCCTTCCTTCAGATTTTCTACTCCAGGTTAATTCTGTCTTTACATATTATTATTTTTCAACCCTAGTTAAACATTAAAATCCTCAAATACCAATGCCCAGGCCCCAACCTAGACAATTTAAATCAGGCACATAGGGTAGAAAGGCAGGCCTGAGCATTGTTACAGAGCTCTTCAGGTGATTCTCATGTAAGGACAAGTGTGAGGATAATTGTGCTTGATATCATCTTATAACCATGAATATGCACCTCCCATTTATAATTACGTAAATCACAAAAAACTTCAGAAAAGTGTCAAATATCTTTCTTAGTCCCCTGTAAACTCCATGAGGGAAGTGCTACCCACTTATTCATTCATTGATTAGTTATTTTTGTTAGCATTTTCTGTGTAATAGACTCTGTTCTAGCTGATGAGGATGGAGCCATAAACGGTATCTTCATATTTCTTCTTGTACAAAATATATATATGGGGACATTGCAGAGTTTTGATATATATTTGGTGAGTGACTAAATATTCTTACATTTTTATGTTTACTTTTCTATAAATTTAGTATTTCCCCCTTCCTGAGATAACTCTTATTTGCCTCCAAAATACCTAAAACAAAGTTTTGAACTGAGCTTTTTGACACTTTAAATAATTGCTCAACTTCCAGCTTCAGATTGTCTCTCATGACAGTCTCTGGGTTTCTTAATTATTGCATTTTGTCTTTCCCTGTCACTCAGATAATAAAACTGTAGTGTGAATTACCATTCTTCAGACAGAAGGAAAAATGAAAAGTTTTGTGCATTACTTTGTGACATTGCTACGTCACCATTTCTCTTTGTCTTTGGAAATAAATTGTTGGCAGATCTGCAATTTCTTCTGTCTGCTTGTTGGAACCCTTGGCAACATGTCACCTGCTCCAGCAGATTTTTATATTCAGAGCACAATTCAGAGCTCAGGAAGAATTCTTTACTGATTTCTTCCAGTAATTAATCATTGCCTACTGCCTCACTATTAGAGAGACATCTCCGTCTACACATGTGCATTCAATTAAGGCTTGATTGTTTCGGTTTATGGATTATCTGGCTACTGTGTTTTGTTTTTGCTTTTTTTCCCTGTATTCCTCTCCAATTCTTATTTTCTAACTCAATTCTTCATGGGCTTTTTCTTTTTCCACTAACAGAAGCATGGGGAGTGAAAAAAGCAAAAATGAAGTTAATTATTAAATCTTTGAGAGTAAATCTACTGAAAAATGGCAGATATTCAAGCATTTATGGAATGAATAGACTATATAATCATTACATTTTCTTCTGTTCCCTTGATCTTCATCTCTGAGAAAAAAAAAGCATCATGATGGAATAAGAAATTTGAATAATCTGTAGTCAGACAAATTGGTTTTGAATCTGGCCAACATCCCATCATAATTGTGGTCTTAGCTAAAATATCTGAGCCTTTGTCTCGTTTTTGTTTTTGTTTTTGTTTTTTTTTAAGGCAGACAGGAACCAACATTAAAACTCTACTGTGTATGTATTATACTGGACAGCTAATAAACATCATCTTATAATTCCTACTGAATGCTTTTGCTCCTAAGAGTTTTTTCACTACAGACAGTTGGGTAAAAGCAGAATCAGACATTACAGGAATTACTGAAGTTTTAATGCATCGCTGTTACTAAGACAATGAACTGCTTGGTTCTGCTGAGAAAGAGCCAGAAGAATGAATCTTCACAGGACTACCAGAAACTTCTTCACAGCAAGGTATGAGAAAGCCCTAAGTCAATGCTATAACCCTAAATCAGAGAGTGGAATCAGCAGGCTTCGCCTGGGAGCGTCTCCGTGGGAAACGACCTGTAGACGAGTCACCTGTGCTGGGACGAGGTTGTTCTTCCTCTCCGCGCCCTTCCCACCTCCAGAGCACCAGAGGCAAAGACAGAGGATAACCTGGTCACTTCTTGCCTCTCTTCTTACCCTTGCCTTTTCCTTCTCCTTTGGAATCCTTGCTGTCAACTCTGTCTTTAGGCATCCTGAAACCACCCATTTCCTTCCGTATCATAGTGCCTCGCCACCAGGCCTGGATCTTTATGACGCTCTTTAATTCCAAGAGATCCTGTTCCGCCTTCTTCCTGCTCGTCTCCTTTTCTATGCGATCTTCAATGATGACTTGTTCATACTCTCTTACCGTCTTTGCGAGGTCCTGAAGGTGTGCTAAGTCACTGGCCTTTGCAGCTTTGAGAGCATTTAGTTCATTCTGTTTCATTTCTGTGTCCTTATCATATTTCTCCATCCAGAACTCTAACTTCTCCTCAGGTTTCTGCTGCTCCTTTCTAAGGAACATTTCAATCTCCATATGAACCCGGGTCTCTTCTTCGGTTTTCATCCTTAGTTTCTCGATCTCTTCCAGCAAGAGTTCCTCTGTTCTGTTACGCTTTTTCTGGGTCTGGGCAATCTGCAGGTCAGTATTGATTTTCATGTAGCGATTCTCCAAATTGGTTTTTGCTTTCATCTCTTGCAGTTGGTCCTTGAGGTTAGCAATATATTCATTCTGACTCTGCAGTGGAAAGACCAGGCTCCTAAACTGAAAATACATTCTACCTCCATTCGGTTCAGTCAGCGGCTTCAGGTTCCTGTCTCGTTTTTTAATCCATAAATCAACTAATGTCATAGTCATTCACCTATGACAGGGAAAAATGGTAGATTATAATGAGATTATTAACTTCATGTTTTACGGTAAACGTATAAGAACATATTCTTATCCAAACTCAAAAAAGTTGTGCCAAACCAATCCTGTGTCAGTAAGCTAATGCCACAATATTGCTGCAAAAAGAAAAGAAAGAAAGAAAGAAACAGAAAGAAAGAAAAAAAGAAAGAGAAAGAACGAAAAGAAAGAAAGAAAGAAAGAAAGAAAAAAGAAAAGAGGGAAGGAAGGAAGGGAGACATCCTGGCTGGGTGTGGTGGCTTACATCTGTAATCCCAGCACTTTGGGAGGCTGAGGCGGGCAAATCACCTGAGATCAGGAGTTCGAGACCAGCCTGGCTACACGGGAAAACCTTGTCTCTACCAAAAATACAACAATTTACAACAAACCCACAGCCAATATCATACTGAATGGGCAAAAACTGGAAGCATTCCCTTTGAAATCTGGCACTAGACAAGGATGCCCTCTCTCACCACTCCTATTCAATATAGTATTGGAAGTTCTAGCCAGAACAATCAGGCAAGATAAAAAGGTTTTTTTTTTGTTTTTTTTTTTTTTTAAATTCTTGTTGTAGAAATCTTTCACGTCCCTTGTTTGCTGTATTCCTAGGTATTTTATTCATCTGGTGACTATTGTGAATGGGGTTGCATCCATGATTTGTCTCTCTGCTTCAACATTATTGGTGTACAAATGCCACTGATTTTTGAACACTGATTTTGAAGCCTGAAACTTCACTGAAATTGTTCATCTGATCTAGGAGCCTTCAGAAAGAGCATACGGCATTTTCCAGTACATAATCAGAACTTTCTTCTTATTTAAATGCTTTTTATTTACTCCGCTTGCCAGATTCCTCTGGCTATGACTTTCAGTACTACATTAAATAGGAGTGGTAAGAGCGGACATCCTTGTCTTGCTCAGTTTTCAGGGGATGGTCCCAACTTTTGCCCATTCAGTATGATCTGGCTGTGAGTTTGTCAGAGATAGCTCTTATTAATTTTCAGAATGTTCTTTCAATATGTAGCTTTTTCGGGGCTTTAATGTAAAGAGATGCTGAATTCTATGGAAAGCCTTTTCTGCCTCTATTAAGATGATCATCTGGTTTTGCTTTTAGTTCTGTTTATATATGAATCACAATGATTGATTTGTGTATGTTGAAACAACCTTGCATATCGAAAATGAAGCCTACTTAATCATGGTGGATTATCTTTTTGATGCACTGCTGGATTTAGTATGCTATTTTGTCAAAGATTTTTGTATATATGTTCATCAAGGATACTGGCCTGAAGTTTTGTTTTCTCATTTGATCTCTTCCCGATTTTGAAATCAGAATGGTGCTGACCTTATAGAATGAATAGGGTGGAGTTCCTCCTTCTAAACTTTTTTTGGAAACATTTTAGTTGTATTGGTTTCAGCTCTTTTTTATATGTCTGGTAAGAATTTGAGTGTGAATACATCTGGTCCAGGGCTTTTTTGGTATGGTAGGCTTTTTATTACTGATTCAATATGTAACTCATTATTGTTCTGTTCAGGTATTTAACTTCTTCCTAGTTCCATCTTGGGAAGCTTCTGTTTCCAGGAATTTATCCATTTCTCCTAGATTTTCTAATTTCCATATGTAAGGGTATACATAATAGCCTCTGAGGGTTTATGCATGCATATGTGTGTGTGTGTGTGTGTGTGTGTGTGTGTGTGTGTGTATTGCAGTGGGGACAGCAATAATGTCCCTTGTCATTTATTATTATTTTTATTAGAATCTTCTCTCTTCCTTAATTAGTCCACCTCTTAGTGGTCTATGAATCTTATTTATTCCTTCAAAAAACTAACTTTTGGTTTTGTTTATCTTTTGCACAGCTTTTCATGTCTCTGTTTCATTCCATTCAGCTCTGTTTTTGGTTATTTTCTTCTGCTAGTTTAGAGGTTGGTTTGCCCTTCTTTTTCTAGTTCTTCTAGGTGTGATGATGGGTTGTTAATTTGAGATATTTCTGACTTTCTGATGTGAGAATTTAGCACTATAAACTTCCTTCTTAACGCAACCTTAGCCATATCCCAGAGATTCTGATATGTTGTATTTTCATTTTCATTTGTTTCAAAAATTTTTTTGATTTCTGCTTTAATTTAATTGTTTACACAAAAGTCTTTCAGGAATGTTTAGCTTAATTTCCACATATTGTATGCTTTTGAGAGATATTTTTAGTACTGATTTCTATTTTTACTACCCTGCGGTCTGAGAGTATAGTTGGTATGGATTTTTTGTTTGTTTTTTTGAGAATCGCTTTATGGCAGAGCATGTGTTCTATTTCAAGTTATGCACTGTGTGTAGATAAGGATAATGTATATTCTGTTGTTGTTGGGTGAAGTGCTCTGTAGACATCTGTTTGGTTCAGTATAGAGTTTAGATCCCAGATATCTTTGTTAGTTTTCTGCCTCAATTATCTGTCTAGTGCTATCAGAGGGATATTAATGTCTCTCGCTATTATTGCGTTGTTATCCATGTCTCTTTATAATTCTCTAAGAACTTGTTTTATGAATCTTGGTGTTCCAGTGTTGGGTGCATATATATTTCTGATAGTTAAGTGTGTTGAATTGAACCCTTATCATTATACAATGCCCTTTCCTGTCTTTTATAATTCCTATTGCTTTAAAGTCTGTTTTGTCTGAAATAGAAAGAACAACCAGTGTTCTTTTGTTTTGTTTGTTTTTTGTTTGCTTAGTAGATTTTTCTTCATCTCTTTAGTTTAAACCTATGAGTGTCGTTGCATGTAAGATGAGTCTCTTGAAGATAACTTACAGTTGGATCTTGCTTCCTTATCCAACTTACCACTCTGTGCCTTTTAAGTGGGACATTTAGCCATTTACATTAAAAGTTTATTGATATGTGTGGATTTGATATTGTCGTTATGTTGTTAGCTGGTTGTAATGTAGAGTAGATCGTGTAATCACTTTATAGTGCCAATGGTCTACCTGTTTAAGTCTGTTTTTGTGGTAAACAGTAACAGTCTGTTGTTTTCATGTTTAGCACTCTCTTAAGGGCCTCTTGTAAGGCAACAAATTCCCTTAGCATTTCTGTGTCTGAAAAGCGTTTTATCTCCTTGTTTATGAAGCTTGGTTTGCCTGAATGTGAAATTATCCATTGGAATTTCCTGTCTTTAAGGATGCTGAATATATGCCATCAATCTTTTCTGGCTTGTAGAGTTTCTGCTAAAGGTTTGCTGTTGGTCTGATGGGATTCTCTTTGCAGGTGATCTGCACCTTCTCTCTAGCTGACTCCAATACATATATATATTTTTTTCTTTCTCACCATCCTTGAAGAATACTGTGACTATGTGTTTTGAGGATGGTCATCTTGCATAGTCTTTCAGGTCTTCTCCAAATTTCCTGAATTTGAACACCAACCTCTGCAGTAAGGTTGGGAAATTTTTCATTGACAATATTCTCAAATAGGTTTTTTAAGTTGCTTGCTCTCTCACCTCCTTCACTTTCAGAGATGCCAAGGAGTCATAACTTTGATCTCTTTACATTATGCCATGTTTCTTGGAGTTTAGTTTTTTTTTTTTTTCTTATTTTATATATATTTTTTGCCTTTGTGTCTGACTCAGTTAATTTGAAGAACTTGTCTTTAAGCTCTGAGATTTTGGCATCAGCTTGGTCTATTCTGCTGTTAATACTTCTGAAAGTATTATTGAATTATTGTAGGGGTCTTTTCAGCTTTAGTATGTCTGCCTGGTGCTTTCTTAAAATGACTATTTCCCCTGTCATCAAAATTGAAAGAATTAGAGAAGCAAGATCAAAAAACTCAAAAGCTAGCAGAAAACAAGAAATAACTAAGATCAGAGCAGAACTGAAGGAGATAGAGACATAAAAAACCCTTCAAAAAATCAATAAATCCATGAACTGGTTTTTTGAAAAGATCAACAAAATAGATAGACTGCTTGCCAGACTGATAAAAAAGAAAGGAGAGAGGAATCAAATAGGTGCAATAAAAATGATAAAAAGGACATCACCACCAATTCCACAAAAATACAAACTACCATCCGACACTACTACAAACAACTCTGTGCACATAAACCAGTAAATCTGAAAGAAATGGATAAATTCCTGGACACTTGCACTATCCCGAGACTAAACCAGGAAGAAGCTGAATCCCTGAAGAGACCAATAACAAGGACTGAAGTTGAGGCAGCAATTAATAACCTACCAACTAAAAAAAGCCCAGGTCTATATGGGTTTACACCCCAATTCTACCAGACATACAAAGAGGAACTGGTACCACTCCTTCTGAAACTGTTCCAAACAATACAAAAAGAGGGAATCCTCCCCAACTCATTTATGAGACCAATATCATCCTAATACCAAAACTGGGCAGAGACACAGCTAAAAAAGAAAACTCAGGCCAATATCCATGATGAATATTGAAGCAAAAATCTTCAATAAAATACTTGCAAACAGAATGCAACAGCAAATCAAAAAGCTTATTCATCATGATCAAGCAGGCTTCAACCCGGGGATGCAAGGTTGGTTCAATATACACAAGTCTATAAACATAATTCATCACATAAACAGAACCAAAGACAGAAACCACATGATTATCTCAATAGATGCAGAAAAGACCTTCGTCTAAATTCAACAGCTATTTATGCTAAAAAGCCTCAATAAACTAGGTATCAATGGTACATATCACAAAACAATAAAAGCTATTCTTGACAAACCCACAGCCAATATCATACGGAATGGGCAAATACTGAAAGCATTGCCTTCGAAATCTGGCACTAGACAAGGATGCCCTCTCTCACCACTCCTATTCAATATAGTATTGGAAGTTCTAGCCAGGACAATCAGCCAAGAGAAAGAAATAAAGAGTATTCAATTAGGAAAGGAGAAAGTCAAATTACCTCTATTTACAGATGACATGATTGTATATTTAGAAGACCCCATCATCTCAGCCCAAAATCTCCTTAAACTGATAAGCA